AAATAGGACATTTTCTTCCTTGGCTAGCGACACGATGTGACTAAGTGTGACCAGTGTTAGAGAGAGCACGCGACGGCGAGGATGCCGATGCGGTTTATATTTAACTCTGATTCTCAATAACCATGTGCTGGCCCTTTTCTGGTGCCTGCTGTGTACTTTTCATCTTCTTTTTCTTCTTCGTTGCAGTGCAATTTAGAGGCGGCGAGTTCGTTGCCTACCGAGGCGAGGGGGCGTCGCTGCTCCGCAAAACGCGGCACAAGATTATCTATCCTCCGAGCCTATTTACGTTCTGTTGTTTCATTCTCGTTTTTGACAGTATCACGTTGGCGCAGTTTCGATGCCGGATATCCCTATAGTTGTTTTGGGGAGCGGTGGTGTTGGAAAGAGTTGCCTGACTATTCAGTACATTCAGGGTCATTTCGTTGACAAGTACGACGCCACCATTGAGGATGTGTACCGCAAGCCTATCGACCTTGACAACCAACCTGCCGTGCTAACAATAGTAGATACAGCAGGACAAGACGCCTTTGGTGCGATGCGTGATCAGTACTTGCGGAAGGGGCAAGGCTTTGTCCTTGTATATAGCATCACCGACGCGGAGAGCTTTCAGCAGCTGAAGCGGATATATGCGCAGCTGCGCCGCGTAAAGGGTGAAAAATCAGTTCCCTGCGTGGTGGTTGGAAACAAGATTGACGAGGTGCACTACCGGGCGGTAAGCGCGGAGCAGGGCAGTTTGTTTGCGGCGCAGGCGGAGTGTCCCTTTCTTGAAGTGACCGCCAAAAATCGAAGGATGGCAGAAGAAGTGTTTGAAACGCTTGTGCGTACCATTCGAAACGGGGGAAATGCGTGCGAGCAGCAGCAGCAGCAGCAGCAGCGGCATGCAAACGGTGTGGGGGAGGCTCCTCGCATCGATGCAACAGGGATAGGAATGAGGCCCCACGCAGGCGGCAACGCGGGGCCGCAGCTTGTGGCACCCCCCGCTGTTTCACCGCGTCCTTATCCAAAGAAAAGGAAAAGTAGATGCTTTCTGCTATGAGGCTGCCCGCGTCTCCTTGTTATCGTTTCCGTTGTTGACGCGGCAAGTATTGTTTTAGAAGGCATTCTCTCTGTTTCTATCATGTGAGATGAAAAAAAAAAGGAAGCGCCTTTGTTTTGCCACCGCCCGTGGTGGGCAGCTTTGTTGCATTCCTTTTTTTTTTTTGTTTCTCTCTTTCAGTGGCTTTACCATTTACCTTCCGTTTCCTGTGTTTTTTTTTTCTGTTGCGTGTGACGGGCGTTAGATTTTTTTCGGGGCTGCAGCGAGTCGGGGGACGCCTCGAACAAAGGGGAAGAGGCAGACGAGGAGAGAAGTAGCTTGGCGAACTCCGGGGCGGTGGACGGAGGTGTGGCGCTGGGCGGATGTAGAGTTGGGGAAAAATGAATCCGCGGCCGTTGAAGATATGCACCTATCGACTGGATGATCCTCGTGAGCTGCGCCAATTGCACGACAGTGGAAGGCTGCGGCTTCAGGGCCCACTCCCGTCTTGCTCGTTGCTTGAGCGGTGCTGTTCAAAGGTGGTCGACACGCACGCCGACCTTGTGGCGTTGCAGAATGTGAGCGATAAAAAAATTTGTTGAGGAGGCTCTTTCGCCTTCCTTCGCCTGTAGCTGCACTGCTGGTTTGCTTTTTGCGTACAACAGAGGCTCGCTGACGTTGACGGACAAGAAGGAGGTGAATCTGTTTGGGCAGGTGATTTGTCGTGCGAAGACGGAACCTGGCTACGCCAGCAGCTTGCCGTCGATTGGCTTTCGTTACTCAAAGCCGTACATACCAGCCACGTATGCCCTGTTTGAGATGCTTGCCGATGCGAAGGAGCCTCCCGTTTCCTTTATTGCGGTGAATTGTGACCTCTCGAGGACGCCGGCGAAACAGCACAACTTTCGCTGTGCGTTGATTTCAGAGATGATTCGGGTTTTATACGAGGACATGCACCTGACGAAGAGTTGGGGAACTGGACGAGTTTTGCTGCTTGGCAGTTTTAAGTCACCCCCTGACTCACCCCCGTACGATTATCTAACGCGCCTTTATGAAGCCAATGAGACGAAATTTCAGTTGCGAGTAACTCGATCAGAGGGGGACCCAGTAATGATCAGGGCAGGATCTGCTTCGTGCGTCGTGCGCCGCTGGTGTTTTATTGCTGTTTGTGCGAATCACTTTCAACTGCATCGTCTGACAAGGATAGTTATTGATGCGCGCAGTGGTTCCCTGGACAATGTGCGTGAATTGGAGCTCGCTACACTGCACGACGATGCCAATCTTCCTGGGGTGGTGAAGCGGGAAGCGAAAACACTTACCCTGGCATTTGCTCCTCCTTGTGAGGTGACAGGGCCACTGCGGCATTTTCGGTTGGCTTGGCGGGAATACCGAGAGGATGCTTCGTCACCGTTGCTGGAAATTGGGTCGAAGCAACATCCTATTAGCTTGTATGGGTTGCCGCACAGATACAACAACACCGAGGAGATGGAGAGGACGAGCCCTCTTTTTCGAAGCGCTTACGCAACGTGCCGGCACCAGCAAGCTCACTGTGGCATGAAGGAACTCTTGAGTAAGCATGCGGAGCTGCGGAGCGTCTTGGCTCCGCTTGACCACACTACCTCTACATTGTGCACTTGGCAGCTCGTCCAGCCGGACCTCAAGGGGGATTGTGTTTCGTTTTGTTCCTCTGGATGTGGGTCCTCGCTTTCTCCGTTCGGGGAAAGTTCAATTTTGGAGCCGCAGTTTACGGTGTTTTTCCCAATAATAGCTAGTTTGCGGACCTCTTCGATCCCCCCACGGGAAGCCAAGGCTGGGGCCGAGTCTGAGGCTGAGGCTGAGGCTGAGGAGGAGTTCGTGTGTGGTACACACGACTACATACTATACACTGCGTCGTCTTTTCACTGCGAGGAGGTGGGTAGGCTCCCATCGCTGGAGGATGTTTGTGCGGGTTGGTTTAAGCCCATCAAGGACGGACCTGCGCTGTCGAGCCATCTGCTGCTCTCCTGCACGCTGACGGTAAAGGCATAAAAAACAAAAGCAAGAAAAAACATTATTATTGCCACTATTATTATTATTAGTTGAATGGGACGAACTGAAGGGTTTGTGACACAACACGTGGCGGACCCTTTTCTTCCTCCGTCCCCCTTTCCCCTTTATTGCGTCAACTGTCCTTTTTGTGTGTGCATTTGCGGTGGTGGCGCCGGTGACGAGGAGCATCTACAATTATTCACTGTTTAGATTACTATGACCCTTTATATCATTGTTTTTGGGTTGGCTAAGGGTCTTCATGGTGCTGTGATAGTGGTGCTTTTCTCGCCACCTCCTTGCCTCTCCCTATTCCTTTTTTTTTGTTTGCTCTGTCCGCGCCTTTTATAACGCAGGGTTGCTGATGCGCGCCGCCGATGCTGAGCCCGTTCCGCGGCGGAATCCCTTCAAGGCGCAATGGCGCACAAATTTACCCTCCTTTCATGAGTGTTTGGCGTCGCTGGGGACCCGGGAGAATTTTCGTAGCTTCGGTGAGGTGTTGGCTGCGGTTAGTCCGCCTCCGCGCGACGTCCCCGAAACATCGTGTGCACTAACTTCACCGGCGATGAACAGGAATGACGACTTCTCATTTTTGACGTTGGAGGTGTCAGACATCACGATGCCAGGAACTCCTCCTCATCCGGTGGAGCGCTACCCGCAGAGCTGCGCCTCCTCAACCGAGCGAACACCGCGACTTAGCGATGACGAAGAGAGGGGTGAAGGAATTTCTTTGACGTCGCCTCAGCTTCCTCCATTGTGCCCCAACGCCTCTCCCATTGCACACAGTCCTCCTGCGCTGGGGAAGTCTTGCTCAATCCCGCGAACAGAGCCGCAAGAGGTGTTGACTACACATTTTGTTGCGCGCACGAGGCCAGCACTGTTGAAAGAAGGAGGAAATGTGGACGCCGTCTCTGTGAAAGAAATTCCCATTGCCCATGTAGAGCACTCGGCTCGCCATGAAGGGGAGACCGTTCTGGCGCCAAGCGAAGACTTTTTCTTAGAAAATGACAGGGGCGTGGGAGAGTGGTGTTATATCAATCAGCGTGTGGACAGCATTATCCCTCCCTTGTCTGAGTGGAGTGACGGAAATTGGCTTAGTGACCCATTGGACTCTTACGGCGACTTTGCGTACCATCATCCTTTGCTCTATCGGGTCACTGCAGACACAGCACGGGAGGCTGGACTAAGGGGGCATTTCTTTTTTCAATGCACATGATGATTTGTCTAATTAGGCAAATTTACCATTGAGTGAGTTGCGATTTATTGGCGACGGCATAACGCTTCTGTCGCGGTGGTGCCGTGGTGTGAATCAGGGCAGTTTCACTAGAAATAATGGAGGGCTGAGACAGGTTTGACGACAGTTTGACCCTTTTCCATACCCTGACTCTCCGTGGCGGGGCTTTCTCGTTTCTTTGACGCCTTTCCCGAGAGGCAAGGGGAGTTGCGAAATTTATTTTTGGTTGGTATTATTATTGTTTTTCTCCCTCACTTTATCTTTTCGCCTCGAAGGAAGGACAAATAAAAAAAAAAAGGACACAAAGACAAGGCCAGCGGCTTGATCTCGTTGTGCCGGGAAATGCATGCAGGCCCCCAAAGAGGTGAGGCGTCTTCTTAGCCCCTGTGGAATGAGGTGGGGAGATGGATCTCTCTATGATGTCGGTTGCATGAGGAGAAGAAGGCGGTCTGCTCTATAGCTGAGTTCGTGCCTTCTTCTTTGGCGCCCCTCGTCGCTGGTGTGGTGGGTATATGACACTTCCCGCTGTGCGGTTCTTGTTGGCAGAAAGATCTGCGGAAGACGCCCACAGTACTTGAATAATAACCCCCTTGAGAGAAGCAGTTCCACCTTTTGCAGCATTCTGGCTTCTGCTTTTTTTCACCTCCGTTTTCTCTTTCACCTTTTAGTTACTCTCAATTGGCGTAGGAGCTGTCCCTCCAATTTTCCTCCCTTTTCACCTTTTACTTTTCTTGCCTTCCATCAACGTGCCCTAATGACTTGCAGTCAAGCTTCTTCTTTGCCTTTCTTTTCTTCTAACAGGGCCACAAGTGCCGCCTTTGTTGTTGTTGTTGTTTTTTTGTGCGTTCAAACCTCTCCGCTTCAGATGCGGGAAAAGTTCCTGGTCTCGCCTCCACGGCGATCATTGAGTGCGCCCTGCGCGACACTTCGACATGTGTGCCCCGTTTATGCCCATGAAGTAAATGAGGAAGAGTTGCGTGCGGAGGTGGTGGAGGCCGTATCGTCTCTTGCCAACCCGCGCCTGCGCGTAACGAGGGTGGCCTTTTTGTTTCCTTCTTTCGCCACGAGTGTCTCGTCTAGCGTCGAAACTACAGGGGACAATGGGGCCTGGCAGCTTGTATCGAACTCACAGGCATGTGTGCAGGAGGAAACTGCTGGCCAGCCGGTTTTATTTGACCGCCTTAGAATGGCAAATTCACAAATAAATCTCTTGAATAGCATGAGCGGGCAGACGCTGCAGCGGTGCGCTGAGCTCGAGGAAAATAATATATCACTTAGTCGTGCGCTGACGCAGGCCCTTGACGAGAACCGACAACTGAGTGAGCGGTTACAGAGCTGCTTGGAGGAGCTTGAGACGCAAAGGAAATTGGTGGCGGTGTTGCACCGCGAGTTGCAGGCCGCGCGACATGCGACAAGCACTCTGTAAAGCTTAAAAAAAAAATGGTTCTAGGCCAAACTACAGCTGTATGCTAGAACTCCACCACCAAAGGAAGAAATTAGACCCCCCCCAAAAAAAAAACGGACCAAACAAAACGGAGGAGTAAATATGTTTATATCCAAGATGTGTGTGTGTGTGTGTTTATCTTATTATTATTATTGTTTTGTTCGCAATGCTCGTCTAATATTCTTATACTCTCATCTGTTTTTGTGCTTCCTCTCCCTGGTTGGCTCGAAAACTACAATTCCCCTCTCCTCGCATGGCGTAGTGAGTGCACCTGTTATGAGGCGTGCATTACTTACTGTTTTGTCGCCGTCGGCGTCTGTAAGGCGTGCCAGTGTCTTTAGCCCACGCTACGATTGGCGCACTTCGGGCGTGCACGACGTCGCTCCGAGGGACGAGGGAGATTTCGTGTATGCGGGGGCAGCGCAGACGCTACCGGGGGCCCACCCCCTGCCACTGTACCACCCGCATAACACCGTTACCCGACCCTTAATTTCACCCTATTTGCCTTCACCCCAGCGCACGCATCCGTACTTTACCGAGCCCTTACCCGAATTGCCGCACTTTAACACAACAAAACCGATGGTCTACACATGTGGGACCATAAAACAACGGATTATTGTACCTGTGTTTAACCTGAAGAACGAAGTAACACACACCCGAGAGCTTGATCCATTTGTTTTTGGCATGTATCCTGAAACCGAAGAGCTCAGCAAGAATCTCACCTACTGGTTAGTGCGATGCCAAAATTACGCTAGTAAATGGGACTACGAAACACGCGAGATTTGGCGAAAGGCCAAAAAGAATTGGCCAAACACTGGGATGGGGATGCCACGTGTCGGCAATAGGAAAAATCACCAGTACCCGTGGGGTGGGCGCACGAAGCCATCCAAGCCATGGAATATGCTTATGCCCACTATGGATGTCAAAACCTGGAGTAAGAGTAATCGCATGATGTTGACCCTTAAAATGCTACAAGGACGGTTGCAGATTGTAGACAAACTCACTTTACCAGAGCCTACGCAAGGCTGCTATCTGGATCTTTGTAGCACAATGGAGTGGGATGTACGGCATACGGGAGGTGGCGTTCTATTCATGGATGGCGGTTCCCGCATTTCCCCCAGCATTGAATTTGATCGCTCCTTCTTTTTTGGTAGTTTCTTTAACGGTCGAAACAAGGTGGTTCGACCCACTCTGTTGTGCGATGAGCAGTATGATTACAACAAGACAGCTGCTAAGCAGCGAATGAAGGGCCCCAAGGGCCCAAAAAACCCCATTCCCATTAACCGTTTTAACGTCTTTGATGCGATGCAACACGAAAGGCTTGTTGTTACCGAAGGTGCCATTATGCAATTGGAGGAGGAAATGTACGAGCACAAGTTACGTATCCTCCCTCCACATATTCGCAATCAACTTCCAGAGCGTGGCTACCTCGATAGCGAAACGCTTGGAAATTGTGCTCCGTCCTTGAAGACAGTGCAGATGGAAGCAGCTGCTCGCACAGAGGAGATCGAAAGCACTATGTATCTACCTTTTGCTGACAATCCTTACCAGTTTTGGGGCGATGAGGCCACGGCTTCTTATGCGGTTGATGCTGTTGATGGAACAATTCAACAGTTTGTAAATGGGTCGAAGTCATCATGGTCGATGCTCTCGTAATTTGTCTCCTCTGGGTGTTTTTTTTATTATTATTTGCTTTCCACCTTCGATGACACTGTTGAGGATTTTTTTCTTTAAAAAAAATCTTTGCGAAAACTTGCGGGAGAAGTGCTCACGCCTTACGAATCATTTGCTGATAACAACATCAAATGACCGCATTCTATCCCTTTAATGTTGTTGCAGTAAGGCTTTCGCCATGAGTAGGTTTTAGAAGCTCAAGTTGACAAGCAAGGCTCCTTTGTCAGGTACGCTCGCCAGCATACGCCCATCGTGGCCGGATGTCGAATGGTGGACGCCCAGCATTTTGGTTATTGAAGTCTTGGGTGCAGCACAATGGGCCCGCACGGTTCCCGTTTTAATTTTCGCCCGGCATTAATGCCGCATTTGATGTATCACGTCGTACTTCTTCTTATTTGGGGCGCAACGAAATTGTGAATTTGCTTGGGCCAAGGCCACGGAGTGCATTTTTGAGACGAATTCCCATCGTCACCATCCGAGACCTGGATTATTATTATTATTTTTTTTTTCCATTTAACCCACATTGGGCAAACGAGTGCGTGCGCTAGGCCGTTCCATTGGTTTCCCTTTGTTTTTGTTTTAAAAGGTCTTCATTGCTGCTCCGTATTTGTGGCCTACCGATGGCCTCTCGGGGGAAAAGAGAGGGTTGCGGCGGCGTGGGCTGTGGCGGGCGGCCCTCTTTCATGCATTAGTCTCTGGATGTATGCCTTCTCTTCGTTGAGCTTGCCCCCCCGCGTTGATTAATTTTCAAATCTGTGTTGGCGATTCACCCCCTGCAATACGGGACACCTGGCCCCGAAGGCCCTGAAGCCGCGCACTGACATCACGCAGCAAATGGAAAGTTTTGTCATTTAACTGAGCCTGAGCCCACTTGTACTGGTAGTAGAGCGCCGGCGCTGGCCCTTCAAGTGTTGTCGCCCATTACCTGCACGAAGCTTCTCTGGCTGCTCTGGATGCACTTGGCGGCGCCGTGTTTCGCGGCATGACAAATGCAATAGTCGAATTCCGTAGCGTCTCGAAACACTGCTTCAAAGTTTTGAAGCTGTCATGAAATATCTATTGAATCCGCCCTGCCTAGTTAGTTCGTAAATGTATTTGGTATGGTTTTTTCCATGCCGGCCAGCCCCGGGCCGGCACATTCGGTTGCGTGAGACATTCCACTAAGGGAAAGTAAAGCTTACAATATTCTTTCTCACCCACCACGCATGTATGTATGTGTGTGTGTGCGTCTATTTGTGCTTTGTATTGTCCCTGATGTGTTGCGGGAATTATCTTGTTTTCCAAACCCTTGTTTTCTCCTTCCCCCCCTTTTTTTGTGGGATACACACAATCTATTGTTTTTAAAGTAGATGAAGCTGGCTTCCAAAGGGCCCATTTTGCGGTGGTCGGCGCGGAACCCGACGACGGGCGCCGTTTTTTCACGGAGTGACTGGCTCTCGGGCCGTGACTTCGGTCGTGAGGAAAGGGACTCGGGGCTGTTGCTTCGTCTACGCGACATTGGTAGTCGCTGCTCAGATGCTGCTCTTCCCATTGCCGTGGTCAAGGCACAGTCAAGTGACTTCCAGGTGAATGAGATCGATGCAAGTGGTAGCGTAGCTACGCTGGAAAAGGCTCCCAAGGGCAAGTGGCGGAAAATATCACGCCAAAAAACGCTCCTGATTGAGGATGACGCGGCGACTCCATTTGGTGACCCGACCAAGACGTTTACTCCGCGTGTGCAAAGTTATGGGGAGTATGTGAGAATCTTGGGGAAGCTTCCGCGGGACTCTCCTATCTTGCGGTTCGTCGTCTACAGGGACGCCTATTCCCTTCTTAGCGTTGAAAACCGTATGGGGTATGCGTTGTCCCTTCAACCGGGCTCCGCGTTATTGTGTGAGTCTGCTGGGGGTTCCTTTGGCTGTATTTCACAGTATGGCCTCTGCATTGGCATGACAAGAGAACTTCTTCCACACGCTTCGCGTCACTACAACTTGCATCCTCTTATTTTCAACCCTCAAACGTACCACGCAGAAGAGAGCCTTGATTTTTTGTTGCGGAGACCCTCTGGGCATTACTACCGTCTTGTTTTGCGCTGTGTCGACGGGGACCAGGACTCCATAAACCATCGACTAAAGGTATTAAGCGAGGGAGGATTTGTGAATTATTTTGGTCTGGAAATGTTTGGGATTGGGTCGAACAGATTGTTTGATGTCGCTGCTTTCGCCGCCAAAGGGGATTTCCGACAAGCTGTGGGGGGCCTGCTTCAATGCATCGCGGAGTGTGATGGCATGCATCACGATTACTACATCAAGTACCTGAACGCCGATCCCGGCACCGTACTGGGGATAGCAAAGTTGTGGGCCGCTGCGGCGAAGCACATGCGATCCCAAAAGTGGGTGGTTGACTTGTTAAAGGGTGTGGTAGACTACCATGAGAGTGGGGAGGCGGGGCAACATCTTTGTGAAATCTGGGGGTCTCTTCCCATCCGGGAGAGGATTCAATCTAGTGCAGCGGAGTTTGTATGGAACGCCATGGCCTCCCAAAGGCTCTTGTCGAGGGGCTTGGAGGTGGTTGAAGGGGATGTGGTGCGGTCGCGCCTCCTCGACAGCTCTATTGCCAGGGGCTTGTCTTCTGCTTCATGTGAGTATAAAACGGTTACAGCGGAGGATATAAGACTAGGTGTTTACGATATCACAGACGTAGTTCTTCCTGTTCCCTACGGTAGTGACGCCTTTAATCGTTGCCTGTTTCCTCAACTCGCGCCTTTCGATTGCCAGCTCTACAAGGAGTTTGCAGCAAAGCATGGCTTGTCTTTTTTGTTTGAGAAACCACTTGAGCCATCCGCATTCCCGCGGGAGTTTTATCGACCGCTTGTAGAGAGACCTAGGAACCTTCAGGCTTCCGTGATTAATGACCCAAACTCGTTTACATGTTTAAAATCAGATCTTTTGATTATGCAGGAGCAAAAGCTGATCCATGCGAAGGACATGGACTACGCCTCGCGGGTGCGTGAGCCCTGCGTGTATAATGTCTCGGAGCGTTTTGTGGAAAAGATGGAACCCATTAAAAAGACCCATACAGGCCCTAATTCTGTCGTTCTGTTTTGCCAACTTTCAGAAGGAACATCACCGTTTGTAATGCTGAGAGAGGCCTTTTCCCTCCGCTACGCTGCGTTTCAAGACATGTATGGCGTTTTGTAGCTCTCCTAAGGCTTCTACATGTGAACATCTCTCGCTATCGGTGGTGGTGTTGTTGTTCTCTCTGTTTGCCAACCCGAGAGAAAAGGAGTGTGAGAGAGGGGGGAAGGAATAAAAGTGTTGTATATTTAAATAAATACATATGTGTGTGTGTTTATCCTCGTGCCCTTTACGGCTTCTTCGCTCTTGTGCTCCCTCTTTTATGTAGCCCTTTTTTTTCTTCCCCTTTTTCACCGTGGTTGAGTCTTCTTGAACCTGCCAAAAGGAGGGTAGAGAGGGGGAGTGGGGAGGCGGGAGAATTTGCACCAATGATAACCGAGAAGGAAAAGGAGGAAGCAACGCCAGCTCCACTTGAGGGAGTCACTGCCTCTCCATTCAGGGTCGTGCTCACAAACCTGGGTGTAGACCTGGAAACTGTTGGCGGTGTGACGTATCCCCACCACGTGTTTGGCCATAAAATGGTGTTGAAGCCTGTTGGACAGCCAGAAATTCTTCTCCCTGGAGCTTACGGTGAGGTGTATGTGGAGCCTGGCACAGAATATTCGGTCCAGTCTGTTTTCACTACGCCTTGAAGCAAACTGTGTTTGGGGGGCTCTTTCAATTTGTGCAGTGAAGCCCATTACAATCCTTCTCCTCTCCTTGAGTCTTGCATTGATGCTGGGGGTGCGGGGGGAGAGCACTTGCGTGTTCCATGCATTTTCCTTTTCCTGACTCTTTTACGACTTCTACTACTGAGGATGAGGAGCAACGAAAGATGCGTGTGTTTCAGGCGAGCCATGACTACGTCAATACGGGCCGGTACTATTTGCCCCTTGCCAAGGACGACCTCGTCCTCATCCTGGAGGAGCACCCCAGCGGTTGGTGGACGGCGCAGAACGTGAACGGTGCCAAGGGACTTGTTCCCTCAACCTTTTTGAAGGAATTCCTTATTTGCCCTCCTTTAGAAGTGCTGCTCCACGAGCATTCCATCATGTTGGCAGCACAAAGCTTTTCCGTTGACTTATCTTTGCACGCCCCAGCCCCCTTAAATCCTGGTGAGGAGCTTCAACAATGGAAAACAAATTGTGAGATGACTACCTTGACAGAGCTGGAGCGCGGCGTTGGGGATCTTCTTCTGCAGCGGGAAACGGCTCGACGAGGGCTACTGGAAAGCCTAGAAGCGTTGGTGGGAGACACCAGGGAAGCCTTAAAGGAGGAGGGTACATGGGACACGGATGCTGCGTCCTTGAGCTTGGAACTGGGTGCGTTGAGGCAGCGCATGGATACACTGGAGGCACAAGAAAAGCAGGCACGGGTTGAGTTAGGCTTCTTAAGGGACAATGTGCGGAAATCAAGGTGCCAGGCACCTGTGAAGCTACTTCGCCTGGTTGGAGAGTTTCTTGGGAACACGGTTGGTACTACCGCTCAGGTTGCACTGTACCTGGAAGCTCTTCACGGCAAATTGGAAATATATCATGAAGATGTGCGGATGACTGAGGCGAAGTTGTCCTTGCTTAGCAAAAGTGCCCATGAATTAGGGCGCATGTGTCGGGAGGAAAAGAACCTCCTTTCGTACCGAATTGGCCTTCGAGACGCCAAGGTCCGTGCAATGTTGGGCTTCTGGTCGGAGCGGGCGGAGGCGGCGAAGGAAGCTTACCTGCAGACGAAGTTGCAGTCTCATCTCTCGGAGGCCTTGCGCAGGGAGGAGGAAGATCGCTTACGACAGCTGGTAGTGGAGGGGCGCGCAAAATACATGGAGGCGGAGGATGAATTTCGGCACTGGAGGGAGAAAACCCAAACTACCAAGCGATTGCTTGAAGCGAAGGGAACCGTCGATCCGCTAAACCAGGCTATCAAACGACTGACAGACGAAGCGCAAGTATGGCGGAACAAATTGCTCTCCACAGGTGAAGCTGCGCAGCAACCAACGAAAGGAGTGGAGGAAGAAAAAAGAAGCACGTAACGCGAATATATTTAAAGGCAGGTGTGTGTGTGTGGTGGGGGCAAACTGTATAGTGCAGTGTATATATATATACATGTCGGTGTCCGCATGGGAGCTTATTAAGTACGATGGGCGCAGGTGTGTTGCCGGGGGACTTTGCAGCTCCTTCTGACCATTGAGCATTCTTCATAATCTTCTTCCGCCTCTCACCGTTCAAATCACGCCCAAAACAACAAGGAAATAATAATAATAATAAACAAAAAAAAAAAGAACTGGGCGAAACGGGAAAGGGAGCGAGACAGGCGACGAAGTAGAATAACATAAACACAAAGTTGGAGTGTCCAGTGTGTGAAGCACAAAAAGTTTTTTTTTATTGTTTTTGATCAAGGCGTGCAATGGGCGCATGTACGAGCAAAGTTACCGTCGAGGAAAAGATGTCTCGTTATGTTCCGACCGCCCAAAAACTGGTAGACGCATTTTTCGGAGAGAACGAGTCCACATCGAGCGCTGAGGCAGGAGCTTTTTTTTCGTGTCTCTGGGGAGCCTCGCGTGATGTTCTTCTTTGCAACAGCGAGGAGGCAACCGATTTTCTTAATCGCTCGTGCGAAGCAAATCCAAAATCGGCGGTGGCACTGGATTCGTACCTTTTCTTATCAAAGGGCAGGCACGTTGTGTGGGACTTGAATCGTGCGATGTTCATGACAATATGGATGAAGTATGACGCCGATAACAGTGGGGACATTAGCCTCTGTGAACTTGGTAAACTTGTCAAGGGTTTGAATTTCTCCGAAGACCTCTCCAAGGAACTCACAGCTACGGTAAAAGCTGCAGGTGGAAATGTGAACTACGCCTTTTTGGAAAAGGCGTATCTTTCCTTGACGAGGCTGGACGAACTTGAATACGTGTTTCGAAGTATTGCCGGCCCAGAAAGGGACAGCATAACGAGGGATGAATTCAACTCATTTCTTTGCGATTCTCAGGGGGAGGAGCGGGATGGGGCTCACGTGAAGGATATTTTGAACTCTCTATTTGCCGTCCACACAGGTGAGGTCCATCTAAACGCCTTCCTCGCCTTTCTAGGGGATCACCGTTTCAACAGCATTTTGGATGGCGAAAAGACCTTTAAGGTATACCATGATATGAATCAGCCAATTTGCAACTATTTTATCAATTCCTCACACAATACATACTTGACTGGGGATCAATTGACAAGCAAGTCATCGACAGAGATGTACAAAAAAGTTCTGCTTGATGGATGCCGCTGCGTGGAGTTGGATTGCTGGGATGGCTTTGCGGGTGAGCCTGTCGTCTATCACGGTCATACACGAACATCCAAGATATCGTTTCGCTCCTGCATACACGTGATCAAGGAGAACGCCTTTCGGGTTTCGCAGTACCCAGTTATTCTTTCTCTCGAGGTTCACACAAGCCCTGCCCAACAAGATCGAATGGCGGATATTATGTGCCACACCTTTGGGGAGATGCTATTCCAGAGCCCGTGGGGCCCGCAGGAGCCTCCGACCTTTTTGTTTTCTCCAGAGAACCTAAAGAGGAAAATACTCGTAAAGAGCAAGCGTGCAGCGTCGGCGTCGTCCGATGCTGAAGCGGGGAAGACGGACAGCGAGGAAACGGAGGAAAACGAGGAGGAGGAGGAGGAGAGGAAAAGACTGGAGACCAATCACGCCTACAGGCAGTTCAAGGAGGGAAAGAGGAAGGAGCAGAAAACGAAGGAAAGAAGGTTTTCGGAAAAGCTCTCACGTATCGTTTCCATTGAGTCTGCTGGATTTAAAGGCACTGATGACATGTCCTACCTAGAGGAACGACAAGCGTACCAGTGCACTTCTCTGGTTGAATCCAAGGCAAAAAAACTCGCCCTAACAAAGGCGGAGGAGTTTAAATTGATTAACCGGTATTGTCTTACCCGCACCTACCCCGCGGGATCGCGGTTTGACAGCAGCAACTACGATCCCCAAACCCTTTGGAATTGCGGCTGCCAAATTGTGGCACTCAATTGGCAATCGAGGGAAACCTATGAATGGAGACTTAACAGGGGATTTTTTTCCGACAATGGAAATTGCGGGTACTTGTTGAAGCCTAAAAGCCTGCGTTTGAAGACTGGGCTGCGCCGCGGGTCCCAGGTGCGGTCATTTAGTTTGGAAATTATTTCTGCCTTTTGCCTCCCTAAACCGAACCGCGCCAATAAGGGCGAGATTGTGGATCCTTTTATTAAGTGTTTTATTGAGGGTCCAGACGGCAATAGCAGCCCAAAGACCACGGGGACGATTCGCAACAACGGCTTTCATCCGGTATGGCGGGGAAAAGGTCTGCAGAATGAGTTTTCGTGGGATGTGCAGGACTGGGAACTCTCCACACTTGTCGTGCAGATTTATGATGAGGACAAACACACCCGCAACGATTTTCTGGCAGAGTCTATTTTGCCGTTGCGTGTGCTAAAAAAAGGCATTCGACGGATTCCAATACATGACATTAACGGAGTTGACATCTTTGGTTCATTTCTTATCTGCTCCGTGAGTTTTTTTTGATGCATTTTTGCGAGGGCTCCGTAAAAATAGTGTTCCTCTTTGCGGAATTCGGCGATGCAAAGCAAGAAAAAAAATGTCTTTGCTTCCTTTTATACCTCATCTGTACTTCACTACTCGTTTTTATACATGTACGTATGTATTCATCTTTCCTATTCTCTGCATGATTTTTTTTTGGCCTGTTTGTGTGCTTCTGGGAGGAGTGGCGCATAGACCAGCAGGCGTCAATGTACATTGTAATACCTTCCCCAAGGCACTTCGTTGCAACTTGCAACTTCTGAAGGCCTAACAAACCCGGTCCGCCATGCCCCCGCGCAGGAGGCGGGGCAGAGGCGCTTTCAGCAACTCAATCTATTGTCATGAATTCCATGATTATGAATGCTGCAGAGTCCTCTTGGGTTAGCTGTAGCGTTTGAGTTAAATATATATTGATATACAGGTAAGCAACATGATACCTGGCCACATTGCGACATATGCTCCGCCCATCATTTTTCTGGTCTAAATGCGAAGGAGAGAGAAAAACAAGGTAAAACAAGACATGAGCTATTCTTTCCCCCCCCCCCCCGTGGACCCACTTTTTCTGCGTATTTTTTCTGTGCCCCTGCGTTCACCGTTGTTGTCGTTGTCGTTTTGTCTTTGATATTCTTCTTGCAGTACTGTTCCTTGTGTGTCCCTTTGGCGGCCCTGCGAGTTTTCTCTTTCTCTCTCTCTGCTTTCTCACCGCACCTAATAGTCTTCTTTGTGCTTTCTCGCGAATTCATCCCGTTGACGGACTTCTTTTAACTATATACAAAGAACAACACGAAGAGCCTCACAATGGCCTCTACGTACGCCCTCATCGCGGCTGCGCTTCTGGCTGTGTCAGACTTCGTGTCTGCTGAGGGTAACAGCACCAATAAGGAGGATAAAAAGGAGTTTCCTCTCGTCTGGGTGTGCCTGGGAGTCACGATTGTGGGTATTGCTATCGCGTTGTACGTTGCCTACCGCCGTCCCGACGAGCTCCATCTTCCCGGCGCAACGGTGCTGGTTACCACCGAAAGTGAGACGGCGAACGGAGGAAACGAGCCAGCCAAGAATGACACGCCACACGACAACTCTGAAAGAGTTTAAACTGAAACGCGTCACTTTAGCAGGAACCCCCCAAGCTGAAAAGGAAAAGGAACAGGCAAAGTAAGAATAGTGAATACTGCAATCGCCTCCACAACAGTAGTATGCTAAAAGGTGAGATTCATTTCATGCCTCCCCCTCTCTCTCCCCCCGTTTTTTTTTTCATTATGTTTGACTTTTTAATTGTCCCTGAACTTTCTTTCTGTATAGGTCAAGGGCAAAACGAAAAGGATACGCAAACCAGAACGCCCATTCTCCTTCTTCTGTATACCCAATGCAAACGATGAGTGACTCCCATGCTATATTTGCGTTGCGGGAAATGCTGGCGGAAGGGGCGCTTATCAGTGTTTTTTATTTATGCGAGTGTGCCCCTTCACAGCGATCGTTTTTTTAATTATTATTAGCTTATGAGCCTAAGCAACGGAACCCGACAACAAAGATGCTTTCGAGTAACCGCAATGCCCACCGAAAAAAAAAAGAGGGGAAGAAAACCACAGTAATAATAAAAGGACACGATGGACGCAAGAAAGGAGGAAGCAGTACTGCATCATACCTATCTTCATATAATGCTGGGCTAGAGGGTTGCCAAACGAGGTTCGATGCGTACGTTTTTTTTTTTTTACTGGTTCTGACACAGAGCAGCTCCTGATGTATGCTTGCAACGACAATGTTGGCAGTGCTGACGGTTTTACCCTTTTTCCTTCCTGCTACTTCTCTCGCATACAAAGACGCCGAAGGAGCGGGACCAAACGCTGCTTGCCGCCGTGCACTTAGCAGTCGCCACAACACACAACACACACCGCACACGCATAACCGTCGCTGCCTGAGCGGATCCACCACAAGGAGGGAAAGAGGGAAGGAAGTGAGAGAGGCCCAACATGCCGCGGCGTCTGTTTTCCGCTGCGGTGCTGCTGCTCCTCGTTGTGCTGATATGCTGCAGCTATGGAGCTGTGCACGCTGAGGGGAATAAGCCAAAGGAAGTGCAACTGCCACCGAATGTTGAACTTTTCGTGCCAAAAAAGACAGTCGGAACTGAACGGTAAAGATGAAACAAGAAAGTTTTTTGCCTCATCTTCGCTTGTCATTGCCGGTGGCGTCTTGGTTGCTTTTGCCGAAGGTCACATCGACTACACAGACCCCCATAGTCATTTGGTGGGGTACACGTATTCTAATATTGTGGCGGGGTACATCGACGCTGCAGAGAGCTGGGCGCCTCTTGTCGCTGCGATCGACGCAAACCAGTGGAAGGCATACAGCGTCTTTGCCAGAACCACCAGCCAAGTGGATCGTGTGGGCCGTGCGTTTTTCCCCACCACAGTTGCAAAGGACAACAAGGTATTGCTTCTTGTGGGAAGCCACTATTTGATCGACGACAGTACTGAGTCAGTGTGGACGAAAGGTGACTGGAGTCTTGCTTTGCTGGTGGGTGAGGCTACGCGAGGCAAACAGATCCAGTGGGGCCAGCCCCAACAGCTGCTACCACAGATCGCCCAATCCGCTCAAGCGAACCAGCTGGATGAGTTTTTTGGTGCTGGTGGCT